TTAAAAACTCAAATCCTAAGCCCTACCCTGTGCTATAATATTACTATATATTATATATGTGTTATTATTTTTATTGATTATGGAAGGAAGGAATATACCATAATTGCAAAAGTGCAGAACAATATAAAGAAAAAAGCTATCAATTGTATTCTCACCTCCCAGCTATAACCTACACAGAAGTAAATCCTTCTATACTTTCCCCCAATCTATTTCTATAGATTAAGATATTTAATCTTTGTTCACAGGCCTCATCAGCCTCTAAATAAAATAAAATCCATAATTTACTTGTGAACTTACACCTGACATTCATTTACTTCACGATTTCTGACTTTGGTGTCATCCTTGGAAAGAGCATTTCATCTAAGCCCTGAGGATGCTGCTTCTGATACTTCAATAGTATTAATTCATCTAGAATTTATTTTCCTATAAAATGTGAGGTAGGAATAGAACTTTATTTTTTACTGATGGGAGCCAGTTGTCTCAACATGATTTATTGCTTAATTCACCCTTTTCCTCAGTGACTTAAATGCCTTCTTTATCACATATATATTTCTCACTTACACTCAAGTCCACATTTGTGGATTTTTTTTATTATGTTAATCTGCTATGCCTGTACCAGTACTATCCTCGTTTAATCCCTCTAGCTTTTCAATATATTATAATATTTCATAAGGCAATAGCCATCATTATTCTTCTGTTGAGAAATTGTCTTGGCTTTTTATGCCATGGAAACAATTATTTATTTTTATTGTTTTTATTATGTGACTTGTGATAATATGAGTTAAAAGAATAAATCAACTAGTGTATGATATACTTGAACAGACTGAATTTAATATTCCTTCTTGTCTCTTGGTGAGATTACCAGAGATTTGTCTATTTTATTGGGCTGTTGGAAGCTGCAGTGCAGAGTAAGGTCCTCAGTGCACTTGGCCACGGGAACTCCTCAGGGACTGCCACATTTATAAAGGTTTGTGTCACAGAATCAGCACTATCAAATTGCTAATACCATATCTTCAATATATAAGCTGTCTTTGAATTATTTATACATGAGCTGGGAACCCTGGATAGAATTTTCTTCTAATACAAGCTTTGAAGGATATCATTATATTTTAAAAACCAGTCTTTTTTTTTTTTTTCAATAAGACTGAGTAAAAAAAGAAAATAAAAAACTAAAGAGTGACCCTGGGAGATATTTATGTCAACCCACCAAGGTCGTTTTGTGAATAACCTAAAGGTATTAGGAAGCTTGCTGCAAAAATATTACAATGCCTCTGACTGTCATGAACCTTCAGCACTCATTTTAGACGTTTCCTGATTATTACTGTGTGTGAAAGGCCAACTTCAAAATTAAAAATATTGCACAGTGTAAAGGGACTTTATGTCTCCCCTGAAAACAGAGCTTCTGTGGGAGTTAAGACTAGTTTCTATCAAGAGCCTTGGGTTGGCTTCTGAGAAGATTGAATCATGAAACAAAACCTCAAAACCAAACTGAGATCTTAGTGGGAGACAGTGGGGACAGCAGAGTCCTCCAGGAGAGGAGATCGAAAGTTGGAGGGGAGACGAATGAAGGAGAGCACAAACGCAGCTCCTGTTCCAACCCAAAATTAACACATTGTCTATTACAAAATTCAGATTTCACCAGATTCCAGTCACCTACTCATACAACCATGTCAGTTACAGGTATGTGAAAGATTAGGGGTAAAAAGTAAATCATGCAAGTCTAAGAAAAAATCACAGATAAATTTTTTTCTAGTCTCAATGTGAGAAAGCCTTACACCAAACCAGAAATACAAAAGTAAAACTTTGATGACTTTATTAAAATGGTAGTCAAAACAAATATTGAACAATGACTAGTCCCACTTTATACTCTTCCAATTTACCTACCCCACTCTCCCCACTGTTTACCTGGGTCACCTTGAAAAGGTGTTTAACCTCAGGCCCTCCCTGGTGGTGCAGTGGGTTAAAGCACAGCACTAAGAAGCCAAAGCCACTTCCGCATGAGTTCGATTCCCGCCTGCCCCGGAGGAGCTCCACATGGCGCGGTAGACCTCTCCTGACCCACCCGCTGCTCTCCTCAGCAGTGTACTTCATAGATCTGCCTGTTCTGCTCCCCACTCTGTCTCTGGTGAAGCCTCTCGCCCCTCCCCTGAACCTCTGGCCTGTACCCCAGTTCTGTATGAACAAATAAATAAATCTTTAACAAAAAAAAAGGTGTTTAACCTCATTTACCTGAGCTATAAATCTAAAATATTGATGAATAATATTGCACACGTTAAATATATATAATTTTGTCAATTATACCAAAATAAAACTTTGGAGGAAACGTGTGATTAGGCTATCCCTGCAGTCTTTTTTAACTTTAGTAATCTAAGCTTTTATTTTGGCTAAAATATAACACATGTGCATAGTTTTCTAGTAATTCATTTAGCAGGTATTTATTATCCCCATGGCAGCATGGCAGCCTCTGTGGACAAATGAAAGCTACAGCAGATACTCTGGGGGGCCTTGGGGTGAGTGGGAGAGGGCTCACCCATACAGGATCTGCTGGTAGACACTCTACAAGGTGGTTGTCCCTGTTAGGAAGCAGGTCAGTAGTGGCCAGTTTGTAAATCCTACATAAGAGAGAAAAAAAAAAAGATTCTTGGTTGATGTTAGGTAGAGGTGGGATGGCACCTTTTGGCTTCAGAAATGCAGTGTCTAGATGTGTGACCAGGGATAAGTTACTCAGAAGTAGCTCTCCTGCCGCTCCTCCTGCATCCCCGTGTCAGGAGCTGTCTTCCTTATGTGCCAGTTTCTGAAGACCTAGCTCGGAAAGTCCTTCCTTTCACTGAGTCGCTGTTCCTGAGATCCGGATGCAGGAAGAGAGGCAAACCTTTGCCAGAGGCTAAGGGGTTTCATTTTGAATCACTGTGTTTGGCCAGCCAGCAGGAACACTCATGCATTCTTCAGATATTTGGGTGCATTCGTAGGTTTCTCTGCAGTGCTTCTTAAATCGCCATCCATGGACCAGCAGCCTTGAAGACAGTGTCACCTGGAGCTTGTTAAAAACTCAAATCCTAAGCCCTACCCTGTGCTTTACAGCATCAGCGTCTCTGTGAATGGGATCCAGGAGTGGGTCTTGGCAAGGTCGTCTGGTGGTCCTGTGTCTACTTAGATTTAGGAGGTTCTGTTTTAGCTTTGTTTTCCAAGGCTGGATGGGCTCATAAAGTCTGAAGCAGATTTACTTCAGGAGCTCTCTCTGTCTTACCCCTGTCAGAGCTGTTTGTCCAGCTGCCAGCTTTCTGTCGGCCATCTCCTTGGCTGCCTCCACTTGACATATAAGAAGTCTTGACAGTTCTTAGCCCCTGTATGTTGTGATACATTTTTTTGGATGTATGTTATTTAGATCATAAGAGCTAAAAAAGTTTTAGTTTTCACTTCCGAGCTCTGCTTGTTACAAAACTCTGAAACATTCAGCCAGCCATAAGAGCCAGAACAGTGCTGGGAAGCTGGTGCTTTGACTCTAACACCATCAGTCCTCAGAAACAATGGGTCTTTGAAGTAGTTTAAGGCAGATGTATTAAATTGTTGGTTTCCCCAACAGCATTACTTTGGGGCAAGGGAAAAACCAACTATGCTTGGTTTTTAAAAGTCAAAACATCTCTGTTGAGAGACATCCCGGAGACTGGTTCTACTACCTTGTCATATTAGTCCCTGTGTTCCTAATTCTTACCCTGACATATCCAGAGGAGAGACAGATCTCGGGACACAGGTGCTTCACCTACTTAGAGTCACCAGTTTATCTCTGTTGGCTTCAGTTGTAAGAGATACTAATTGGTGGTTGAAGCTGTATCAGCTAGAAAGGACCCTCAAGGGTTCGACCCTCCGTTGGTGGCTGGAGGTACTGTGTGAAGGGGAGCAGAGAGAATATTCCTCAGGTGAGCCATTTCCTCAGGCTGCAAGAAGCCAGGCTGTAGAGCATCCCTGCTGGGGCAGAGAAAGCTAGGGCTGTCATGTCCATGGCTGCCTTTCCAGAAGGATCCACACACCAAGACCAAGGTTGCCAGCATATTTATCTCTCAAAATACTAAGAAGGCTTTTACCCCCTATGAACTGAAGTAGGTTAATTTTAAACATTTTAGCACAGGAAGCACTCTGAAAGTAGTAATGAGAGGGAAAGAAAACATTCACCAAATTAGACAGTGGGGTATGTGTCTAGCATTGTGAAACCCATGACAGTTGCCTTTCTGCATCTCTTATGTGCAAGAGACACAAACCCATATTTTCTCATTTTTATTTGTGATTAAAGGTTACTTATTAAGAAACTATGACTTACTCATCATTCACTGGAGCTGGGCTAGGAGTGACATGGGCAAATAAGGGGCATTCTCAATCTTGGAGCAGCTGAAAGGCTAGAGGAGGAGCAGATATTCAAATAAGCCATTTAAGGATCCGCTAAGGGTGCAGCAGGGATCCTTCAGCTGTCTCCTGTCTTCTAGGACCACGTAATCGAGCTTACCCCTTCCCCCCAAGGAAATCGTTTCTCACATCTTCGTTGCCATGTTGCTCAGTTTAGCGGATTTTACCAGGCCTTTCTCTTGAACTTTTTTCATTTTCCTTCTCAAAGTCGTGATTACTCCCTCCTCACCACTGACCTAAACACAAAAACTTTGTTTTAGTCCACAATATTAGGACAGTGGCACACGTTGGGTGCACGCATTTAAGACCACTGCTAAGGATGGTTGGGAATCATTAAAGATTGGGGATTGTGTAAGAGGGAAATAGAGCCGGAGGTAAAAGCAGAGATTCAGGGGAACTCTGGGGGGTGGGGGGGGAGAGTTGGAACAGAGTGGGGCAGAAAAGGCACTGCACTGCTGATGGAGCAGAGGGTGGCACCAAAGCCTCACCTCGCTTTCCTTTGTTCAATCTCACAGTCCAAAGTGCTTCGGGAAAAATGGCTGCTACAGGGTATACCTGCTGGAACTGCAGAAGAGGAGGAAGCCAGAAGGCGACAGTCTGAGGAGGATGAGTTCAGAGTCAAACAACTTGAAGATAACATTCAAAGGTAGGTGATTTCCACCAGGGGACCCCATGTTCAGCTTCACAGCACAGTAACCAATAGGGGTTGTGCTCAATGCCATCCCCTCTTTTCAGGCTCTAGAATTGTCTTCCTAAATAGAGTAGCATTCAGAATTTTCCAGATAACCCAGAAATACCACCCTGAGTATGAAATACTATGTTGGGTTGTAATGCAGCACATTGAGGTCTTCATGGGCCACTGGGTGTTGCACCTACTTGCCCTACATGGAATCCCTTTGGAAGTTGTTAGCGTTGGTCTTTTTCCTCCTTTGGATCTGCTTGTAAGTTATTGCTGTTGTCCTGAGTCTGCTTTCAAATTTGCTACCTTTGAACAATTTTCAGTGGAGAAGCTATAGCCAAGGGTCTTGGGATGGAAATAAAGAGTGCAAGTTGAATGAGTATCCTCTTGGGTTACGTGCCAGAGCTCCCAAGTTAACTTTGTATTATTTATGTTCACTGCTCAGACTTGCTTCCTTTATGGTTCCCAACCAAATTCTGAACATTTAATTCTTGGAGATAGGTGACCTTTCTGTAGCCAGTGGCTGACCAGCCTACACAAGAGCCAAAATATAGGTGTCCACATGGGGACTGTAGCCATGCCAGCTGCCAGCATGTCATATCAAACCAGAGATATGAGATGGGGGTGGCAGGGGATTAGGGTCGTGTCGATGGCTTAGAACCAAATCTCCCTTTCCCCCACACTCCATCTGCTTGAAATTTCACTCTGGAAAGCTTTGTCTCTTTCTCCTAGGGTTAATTAAAAGTTCTCTTAAGATACAGTGGGTAATAAGCTACTACGAGCCATTTATACCCAAGAGTAGGTGAAGCCTGTGAAAGTGAGCACTCGAGTGATGTCACCAGAGGGAAAAGCAGACTGGCCCAAGCCCCAAGGGCCTACATTCCTACTTGCTTGAGCCTCATTGTCCCTTAGAGAGTGTGCAGAATAGTTTGCTGGTGGGCAAGTTGTAAGATGTTTATATGGGGTGGGTGTGCAAATATACATACGTATCAGCACACACACACAATTTCTCTTAGAGTTCAAAGGGCACCAGGTGAACTCTTCCTAGCCATTCATCTGTCTCAGTCATGGGAGGGAGAAGATTTTGATCTTATGAATACTGGTGTCACATTTGTGAAAACAAGTATCTCCTGAATTCCAGGAAGAAAAGGACTTCCTAGTCAAACCCCAGAAGATGGGGAGGGGGGTGGAGGAGGGGTACACTAAGTCACGGTGGCTCATCTTGTGGCTTCGTACACAAGGTAAGGAGGGAGGGACTAGTGACAATGAACGGAGAAGAAGCCACCCTGAGGAAGGACTTTGTAGGAAGTTTGTATGTCTCAATGTGGCAAAGCCATGATGCTTCTCACTGCAGACAAAGTTGACCCAAGATGGCATCTCTTTGTCTTTGCTCTTGTTAAGAGTTCCAGACATTTCCCTGCCCCTTTCTTACTGGTTTTACATAAACACAGCATATGGGTCTGGCACAAAGCAGATGCTCCTTAGCTATTTGCTGAAAGAAAGAATTGGGGTTAGATAAACTGTGCCTAGGAAGAGGACAATGGGCCAGGTTTTGGGCTCTGGGTGGGTAGGTGTCATGTTGCAGTTCCAGGCATGGGTGAAGAAACAGGATGAGAATTGCAGGTCCCCTCCAATGTTGGGGGTGGGCATCGTATGTATGCTGTTTATATCTGATGGGTAGAAAATGGAAGTTAACATAATTAACAAAAAAAAAAGAAAAAAGAAAAAAAAACCCTGGCTATCTTTTCTTCCTTGAGTTTGACCTGTACATCCATTTCATTTAGTAGATGTTAGAATAGATGGATTTCAAAATGGATTTGGAAAATAGGGTGAAATCAATGATATGAGCTTTTCTGTTTTTCACAAGTGGCCTTGGAAGATGTTTGTTACTCTCTTCTTAATTGGTAGTTTTATCTTGACTGGAATATAAATACATTGTTATGCTGGCCCCATAGCAGGTAAATCTCCCCTGTGGGGAGAGCCATCACCCAGAGGGAGAGTCTGCAATTGAAACTCAGTGTTGGCTGAACTGACCAGGGGGGTGAGTGTGAGAGTTGGGGTTGGCTTATTTTTCAGGTGGGCCCCGACATACTCAGAAAAATGAAGAAATCCTCTTTTCCTCTTCTGAGTAAACAAAAGCTCTTTCAATGTATGCAAATAATCTTTTAGAATCCACTTAAGAGATAGACACTCAATCAGAGACAAAGCAGCCACAACGCCTGAAGGGGTAGCAGTGGAGTGCTTAGGGGCCATTCCTTCTGCCAAAGTCATGGTTTTGCTGTGCGGTGGTCCAGTGGGCACTGAAGGTTCACTGGGGAGGACTGGTCCCGAGGAGCCACTTCTCACTTCTCTGTAGATGTTGCTGGGTAGCTCCGGAACCCCCGCAGGCCTCTCGGGAGGGGTTTCTCCCCCTCTCCCCTCTGGAGGTTGGTTTCTGCTTCTGCTCAGCTTATTCACAGCTTCTCTACTACCGTGTTTAGCATCTTTCAGCTCCGTGCCAAGGGAAGGAAGCAGCTAGCCACTCTCCTGGCCACCTAAGCCAGTTCCTGTGACCAGACAGAGCTTGGTTCTCTCTCAGCCAGTCACCTGAACAGCGCTGTAGGCACCTTGTAACAAGCATCCTACAGCCTTGCATGTGGGTTGGCTGTTCTGGCTCTGCCCCTTTGGCGGATGCTGTGTTTTCTGCACTAAGGAGCGGTCACGACAGCTTGTTGTACCAGTGGCCTGGAAGACATTGAATGAGCAGAAACAAGGCTCAGAAACTACCCAGGAACCGCTGGCCGAAGCAAGCCAAGGACCAACCCCACAGCCACAGGGAAGAGACGGACAGTCAACTTTTGGAGGAAGGAGCTTTGGTGCTGTGTAGCAAAGGACACACTATAGAGGAGGGTGAAAATAGGGGATGATTTGTTCTTTAGGAAACATGGTAGGTTCAGTTGAAAACCTAGAAACAGGCCCTCCCTGGTGGCGCAGCAAGTTAGAGCACAGCACTAAGAAGCTGAGGCCAATTCCGCATGAGTTCGATTCCCACCTGCCCCGGAGGTGACCACATGGCGTGGCAGACCTCTCCTGACCCGCCCGCTGCTC